CCCCCGCCTGTTTTAAATGATGACTCTACTGACTGTGCATTGTGTTTTGTAGATAACCCCTGAGTAACCAGTTAGTGTTGAGGAGGATCTGGGAAAGGGAAAACCGTTTTTTCCCCCACGGTTGTAGCTTCCAGAAACACATTTAATGAGGGAGGAGGTTTTTGTTTGTTCGCCTTTTACTTAGTCACCTAGCATCAGAGTCAAAGGATACTAATTCTGTTGTACTTTGTAAGCTGATCAGTATCTCATTGAAGTAGAGAAGCCTCATCCTGGGTTGGGTGAGCTGAAGGCTGCTGCTTCGGGGACACCCTGGTTTTGGTTGGATGGAGGTGAGCTTTATATCTCTTAGCTGGTTAGCTGGGTTTTTTTAACTTGGACCATCCCCCTGGAGGGTAGGCAGCAGCCACAGCTGCTGCCTGAGATGCACCAGGGCCACGGGGACGTGGACCCTATGGTTCAGGGAACATGTGGACACGTGGGTGTGCAGCCGGGGACAGGGTGCTGAGCAGAAGGTGTGCAGGAGGGGGCCCTACCCCTGCAAGTCAAATCGCACTTCTCAGCCTTTCCCTTGCTGCTCTTTGTTAGGTTTAAATTATTAGTCATTTTTGGTAAAGGGTCAGTGATGTCCTGTGCAAACTTGCCAGTGAAGCTCATACGTGGCAGAAACTTAGAAAGCAGCTGCTGCCAAAAGTCCATCATCGCGGAGATAGCAAATGAAGCCGATCATGATCAGTACTGTTTTTAAAATATTTTAAGTGAGCCAAGAAGGCTTGAAGGTATTAGAGACTATTTTCTTAAGAAGGCTTTGCTTTTCTGTATTATATTAAGCTTTCTTGAGTGGAGTAGGTAACTTTTTGTTTTTTCAAATGTAGGAAAATATAATGAAAAAATTTGAACAAGGCATTATTCATACCCTACTTTCATGTTTCATTTCTAGCTTGAATGCTTAAGATTCCTGATGTGTGTGGATGACCTGGACTTGTGCATCCTCAGGATAATCGACTGCTCCTGATATCACCGTGTCCACAGACCTTTGTTCCTTATTCCGTGAATAGTTGCCTGTTTGCCCTCTTAGCAGTGGCTAGAAATGTAAATTCTAGATAATTCTTTCTGAGAGCAGGAGTCATTTTATGTGTTGCTGCCACTGCCAGGAGGCATAGCAAGCTAGCTTGACAGATCTTTACCATTTATTCATTCATTCATTCAGCAGCTCTTACTGATTGCCTGCTGTGTTCCAGGCATGTCAAGGAGTCAGTAAAAGATTTTTGCCCGGGGCGCGATGGTGGAGGATTGGGGGGTGGACCCAGCTGATAAACAGTAGACGTGGGAAGAAAACGTTCTGTGTGTCAGAAGGTGATACATTCTCTGGAAAAATAGAAAAGTAGATCAGATTACTGTGGGGTGTAGGTGGGAGGCATGCAATTTCAAAATCAGGTGGTCAGGGTGGACCTCATTGAGAGGATGAGTGAGCAAAGCTTTTACTGAGAAGAAGGAAGTTATCAAAGAGGACATCTTGGGGAGCAGAGTTCTCGGCAGAGGGAAGTGCTGGGCTGTGTGATGGCCCTCAGCCAGGGAAGTGACTGGGGTCATGGGGAAACAGCAAGGAGCTGTGTGGCTGGGGGAAAGGGCAGGGGTGGGAGATGAGGTCAGAGAGGCCACGGGGGGCCAGGTCATTC